TACTACTACTACTACTACTACTACTACTACTACTAGTATGACAAAATCTGGTACAAGTATGTAGACATAGGCACCAGACTACTGTGGTTGCAAAGTGGAAGTTTTTGAACAAAAACTGCACATGTGAAGAAATTGTAAGATATTCTCATTCTCTACTAACTTTATCCTCTCATCTCCACCCTGAAGTCCTTTTTTGCAAAAAAGCTCAGAATTTTTATTTCTGAACTTTTGTACACTGCATTACGAATTATACACAAAACAAGATTGAAATACTGAAAAAAGGCTTTTCTGCTCATTAATTTCTTTCCTTCTTGATAATTTCAAAAACAAGGAAACATTGAAAATGCAAAAAAATCAAACCATTGTTTCAGTAGTAGTACTAGAAGTACTAGCCCTCCTCAAATTGATACACTAGTAGTACTACTACACAGGAGAGCCAGCACCACCAGCACCATTGTTACTGTGAGCAGCAGCTGTTTGTTCTTGTTCTTCTTGTTCTTCCTGCCTGTTCTTCCTGTTCATTTTCATTTTCTCACTTCTTCTATGTGACAATATTACTACAGTAACTTTGAAAATTGGCTACAGTGCACTGGACTACCACATTTTTTTGTACAYGAGCCAGTATTTTTGTAGAGTTTTCACTGCCCYGGACTTCAGGGGGAAACAAAAAGAATCTTGTTTCTAGTGTAGAATCCATGTAAACCCCACCATCCCATTTTTTGCAAATAAATTAGTACCTTGACAAAAAACAGATTATTCATTTTAAAGTTGAACATTCAGCCATTATTGTGACAATCAGACAGTCATTCCAGAATTTAAGAGAACCAAAGAATTACACCCAAGACTAAAAAATTGAACTAATTCTTGTTCCCAAGACTTGAATAWATAAGTCAAACTTTTTTATTGGTCATTCCAAGGTTTAAGAGAACAACCTAAATCCTTCCAGCACCAAAAATTCAGTAATTATTGTGATCAGTCATTTGGACATTGAAAAGAACCCAACAACAATAAATATGGACAACTTTGGATAGTTATGGCTATGACAGGCATGCCTTGTTGGACAAGTTTCAGTTGTACAAGAAATACTGCCCATTCCTCCTCTCCAAGAAGTTGGGGAAGAGGAGCATCAAGGAGCATAGCAATGCCAATGCCAACATTGACAACCTCCACAAAAAAATTTAGCCACAAGCAAACGGGGCAACTACTACACCAATGATGAGTCATTTCCATAATTGGTATTAACATCAAACTGGTGGTTATCTTTACATGATGAAAGAGAATCCCATTCCCAAGACTTGATAAATTMTGTTACAGCAAGCCATACAATCATCAAAGCAGAAGTAGGCAAAACATCAAGACTAGTAACCAAAAAATCACATGGTGAGCAATGCATAATGTTAATGTTACTACTATTTTTAAAAATAACTAGTAATATTTAATGCTGTGAACTAGCAGAGGCATTAGGGACACTCCTACTAGAATCATCACTTCTTCCTGGTGGGAGAAGGTTGCTTCTGCTACTAGTACTATTTGCTGTGAGGAATAGGACTCCTGGAGAAGGATGAGTGGGTAGGAGAGATGTACTAAGGAGGCATGCTTGAATGATGTAAAGTATTGTTGTCTCTTTTCAGAGGAGTGTATATCAAAGACCAGCAGCATATCTTGAGTGATGCTCTCCAATGGTTGTTTCTTGCAATTTGTAGTTACTAGTAATGGTAGAGGGAAGAACAAGTACTGAGCAATCAGATTGATATTGGTAGTGGAAATAGTACCACCAGCATCTTGAATACTCCTGCAGATTGTCTTCATAAATTTTCCTGGAAGTATGAGGAGAAGGAAGTATTGGTGGACATTGGATAGGAAAGAAGCTTCAGGGCCAGGGGGGGAACAATGTGGCTTCAGTTGGACAAGTTTGGTGGGGTGGAGAGAAAAAGGTGTATGACTCTCTACTCCTTTATTAATGATACTTGGTGGAAGGAATGCTTTTGGAGAACAATGAGACCATGGATAGCATTATTGCTTTGCTCCAACAGAGTGCAGAGTAATATATGAACAAAGAAAGTTTTGAAACAAGGAGGCTCCTGAAACCCCAAATTTTGAAAAAGGTATGCTCCTAAAACCACAGGGAATAGGAACCTGAATTGAGATCTACTGGATCTGAGATCTGAGATCCAATGTTGGGAAATGTGGTCCATAAAAAGATGATTCCAACTTTTGTTAGTCTGGTATTAGTGTTTTGCCAGATGGTGGAAACTCCTGGAGTATGCTCCTGGAGTAACACAGCATGTGTCAAACCATTCTGCATAACAGTTGGACCTTCCTTGAATGGGAATAGTTAGGAATCAAATAGTTGCCAGTGCCTTCCTAAAAGGTAAGACAGYAGGGATATGGATAATGTCAATTTGGTGGGAACAAGAATGTGGAAGTTATGAACAACTTCACATATGTACTGGAATCATGGAAAATATTAGGCACTATTATACAAAGTTAAATTTTCAAAATGATAGGTACAGGGAAAGAAATGTATAACTGCTAGATTGTTGCTGCTTGTGTTTTGATGCTTAAAATCTATGCACATATCTAATGAATTAAAGAAAATGAGGAACTGCAAGAAGGGAACAAGATTGGTRRTAWYWKCWRCAASWASYA